AGTACCCAGTCAGGGTAAGTCCGGTCTGCGGGCTGGCACCTAAAGGGGAAGGGGAAGCGAAACTCAGCATATAACACAGAACTCTGGTTTCTGCAAGAGGGCGCTTCCAGGTTTTCCATGGCTGCTGCATAGGCGACAGAGTTTCCGCTTCGTTCTCTGATCGTATTGCCGCTTTATAGCTGAGGCTTTAGGGCAAACGTCACACCCGGGGCTGGGCTGCAGCATTGGGAGTGGGGACTTGGGCAGCAAAACAGACCGGTGGAGTCTTCTGGGGCTCCGAACAGGTAGCACCTGCGAGGAACAGTAAAAGGTCGGGTTTAAGGATCTATTACAGTAGTGTCTTATCACTATAAATGAAAGCCTGGTTTAAGATCGTTGCGAGGCCATTTTGATCTTGAAACCATAAAGCTTTTTAGGCTATTTTGGTCTTAAACTTTGTGACAGACCGGTTTGATCTCAAAAGCTGAGTTTTTGAGATCAAATTGGCCTCAGCATACGATCTTAAACCGCGAAACGATTTATAGTGCTAGCTTCAACGAAAAAAGATACAGTGCATGCAGCCCCAATTAATCGCTCTTCGAAAAACAGATACACTTTGGTTGGCGGAGTCGGGCAGCAAAACAGACCGGTGGCCTGTGAGGCTCTAAAGTAGCATCTGCGAGGAAGACAAAGGTCTCGGAAGACAAAGGAAAACAAAAAGACAAAGGCCTCGGAATCTGGAAAGCCCGGGAGGGTATAAGCGCAATATAGAGGCTGGCGAGCTAGAAGAAACCCTTTTTTTTCCTCTCGGGCTCGTCGGCGCGCGCAAAAAGGTAGTGCTCGCGTGCATTTGTCCATCTCATCAGCTTAATCAGCTCATATGCGATGCTAGTGCGCAAGTTAAACGGAGGCCCCGTCAGTGAATTCTGACGGACACCGAAAATCGACCGTGCAAGAAAACCTCAAACTCTTCGAGCTAGAAGCTTGTAGCTTCACGACTGACGTAGAGACAGTTCTTCGAGCTCAAAAGAGGGCAGGGACCGCGGGAACAATCTCCTCATGAATAGTCTTGCACTATGAAATTGAGAGCTTGTTGCGACACGCCGACCGACACGGTAGCTCAATCAAGCCGGCAGCAAACAGAAAAAGGGGACCAGCTCAAGAAATAGAGCGATCGAAGAACCTCACAGGGTGAAATTTGAGAAGTCCAACGTTGAGACGTTGCACGGATACAGGATGGACGCGTTCGCAAGCGCGAGTGTCGGACCGGGGGTGGTCGAAGCAGGAGTAGTCACTTCAGGAGTGGTCGGGGAGGGAGTTGTAGGGCTCGGGGTAGTGGGTTCGGGAGTGGTCGGGGCAGGGGTGGTCGGGGCAGGAGTGGTCGGGGCAGGGGTACTGGCCTCAGGGGTTGTGGGAGCAGGAGTGGTC